TGCCAGAGAAAATATAGAAAATATTTAAATTATTAATACTGAAATATGGACAATGGTTACAAATGGTTGAGAACAGTTGCTGCACTGTATATTCTATTCTAAAAAATTGAGCCATCTTAATTTTTCAGCAAAAGCATGGGAAATCAGTTAGTGATCCGTTGACAAATTCAGCGTATAAATGCTGTACTAAAATGTGTCTGCTCTCACCTGCCAACAGAAATATGATTCTATGTCAGTGCATCACAGCGACATTCAATTCCGTTGTCAATAAGCACAGATCTTGTTTTCAGTTACATAAAACTGCGCAGATAAAAATTAACTAATTTTGAGTGTGATAAACTATGTGTCCCATGACTGTTAAATATATAGTTCATGGAATTCATAATGTCGGTTGGTTACTTTGTTTAAGACATTGTAAAATAACGTTTATTGAGACTTTTTGTCCTTGGCTGTAAAACGTATCTGCAGGCTTCCACCCGTGTGTGTGTTTGCACAGTGTAATCCAATGTTTCCTCAATAGCTGGGTCACAGATCTGTTCTGTTGGTCTGTTCTGGTCTCAGACAGCCTAAATGCAAATAATAAAATTAAACTAACTATATTGTGCAATAAAATAAGTAATGCTGTCAAACGATTAATCGCGATTAATCACATCCAAAATAAATAAATGCAAATAATAAAATTAAACTAACTATATTGTGCAATAAAATAAGTAATGCTGTCAAACAATTAATCGCGATTAATCACATCCAAAATAAAAGTTTTTGTTTACATAATATATGTGTGTGTACTGTGCATATTTATTATGTATGTATATAAACACACACACATGCATCTATATATTTAAGAAAAATGTTATGTTTATATATTACATATATTTATATATAATATAAATATGAATATATCTGATATGAATTATATGAATATATATACGCGTAAAGATTTTCAAAATATATACTGTGTGTGTATTTATATATACAGAATAAATAAACAGTACATACACATATATTATGTAAACAAAAACTTATTTTGGATGAGATTAATCACACTTAATAGTTTGACAACACTAAAATAAGTCATGTATGCATTAAGGACATTTTTGTATGGTAAAAGGTTTTGGCTGTTGGGTCACCACTTTAGGTCTATTGTAAAATCGGAGTCCTGTGGAAAAACAAGTTTTTTGGTACAGATGCCACTGCAGATGCATTCAATTTTTGTGGCATTACAGTGTGGCACAACATTTAGATGCATCATGTTTGACCCTGCACGTGCTTTTAAATAACTAGAATTATTAATAACTAATTTAAAATTAACATTCTGAATAGTTCAAAATAAAGAATCAATGAATCATACTGTACACGCTGTATGTACTTCCTTCCATCCCTCACATTCGACTACTCTTACTAAGATATATGGGCCAAAAATATCCTCTTATTTCACAAGATTATGCACTAATTTCATGTTTATGGTTATGCACACTTCCACTCGGCTGAACACTGACTGCTTGTTAGCGCAATCCCTCATCTGCCTTCACACACACACAAACACACACACACAGGTATTTAGAACATTCCAGCAGAATGTGTGTCAAAATGTGCTTGTGAGAGACAGAGATCCCCCTCGACTCCTCCCCTCCTTCTGTTCTCCTCTCCTCCCTCCTCCCATCTCTCTTTTCCCATCAGGACCCCGGCGAAGGCACGCAGTGCTATTTTTAGCGTACTGGTGCTTTTTTATCAGTCAGTGTCTATTTGTGGCTCAAAAGAACTACAGAGGGCTTCCTGGCTGCTGACGTCAGCAGTGCCGTGCTGCAGAGGCGTACAGGGAAAGGGAGAAAGAGAGAGAGAGAAGGGGGAGAACAAAGAAATGAGGAATAGAGAGGGGGTGAGGAACAGAAAAATGGCATGGGGAGACAGAAATGGGCGTAAGACGATGGTACGTTCGCAATGGGCCTCAGAAGAATCATGCGGATCTATTTGGAGGCTGGTGATTTAAGCGCAGTTCTTGTGTGACAGGCGTGTGTGTGCGTGTGTGTCTCCCTCGTGCTGTTATAATAGTGGGCTGCGTGGGGAGAGCTAGTCAGAGAGGATAAGGAGCCCCTCCAGAGAAAAGCAGGATTAGTAGAGGCACGCCTCCCACTATAATAGTGGGCTGCGTGGGGAGAGCTAGTCAGAGAGGATAAGGAGCCCCTCCAGAGAAAAGCAGGATTAGTAGAGGCACGCCAGACACATGCCAGAACCGGGCAAACACCCGGGGATCTCTCTCTCTCACACACGCACAGATCTCATCACAACATGGATGCACATTAGATGTACTGTGAGATGCACACGTGTAGGCTGTGGACAAAATAGAATGAACGTGCCTTGTTTAGTGACTAAGAAGGCATCTTTTTCAGTCACATTAAGCATATAATGTCAAATCTGTATGATCTATAACATTTAATGAATTCATCATGAATTAAATTAAAAAAAAATTTATCTAAGAATTTTCTGATATCAAAAGATCTGTCAGATGCTTGTTTTATATTTTCAGACAACCGCCAATTAATTTTTCAAACATGAGTTTAACAGTCTTTTTGACGATTCATTAAAGGGGTCATATATGACGCTGCTAAAAAGAACATTATTTTGTGTATTTGGTGTAATGAAATGTGTTTATGCGGTTTAAGATTCAAAAAACACATTATTTTCCACATACTGTATATTATTGTTTCTCCTCTATGCCCCGCCTTTCTGAAACGCGTCGATTTTTACA